GACTGTAAACACCCGATTGGTGGATCGTTGTCCACGCCGATCTATGAAAAGAAAAAAAAAAAAGAAAAAAGAAAAAATCGCAACGGATCTAGAAGTCACAGTTATGGCGACTCGGTAATCCATGCCTCTGTTTCTCTCATTAGAGAGAAGGTAATGGACGTAGAAGGTAATTGATACTTTCATAAACTGCCAGCATTCCCACCTGCGAATAGCTCGAGTTTTTGTCGCGGCCTCGTTAGAGGTGACAATAAGTAGTTACCCGTTTCCAGCTAAGTTTCTGTCCGTCTCCCTCCTCTACACCCTCTAAAATTATTAAAAATTATTAAAACGATATCGCGATAATAGAGAAATTCGCGACACTTATTCTCATTCTCATGTTTATACGTACCGTTCAACTTTGCATACTCGACGCATCTTAGAGATAGGCACGCGTGATTAATCGATCTGTTTCACTTATACACGTAAAACCGGTAATCGATAAGTCGCGTCTCGAACAGAAATAAAATAATCCCCGATCCACGAGCGGACAATTAATAACGTAACGTAAACAGAGAGATATTTCAATACATCGTTAATATATATATATATATGGGCTCGATGATCCAGCCTTTTTATCCAAGGTTTAAATCTATGAGTAAGAACGACGACGCGTATCAGGGATACAGTTACGCTTCGTATTGACTGCACTCAGGAGTAACAACAATTCTCCCGTATCCGCCCGAACGATCCTATCTAATTATGTAAGTTACAGCCTATACCTATCTATATACTATATATCTATATACATATATATAGATATATGTGCATATTTTATATATATATATATATATATATATATATATATATATATATGGCGGAGTTTACAAATTAGCTAGTGGTTACGAGACGGCTGTAAACGAGCGTCGGCGAAACACTAATCACGGTGATTGCAGGGGAGTGGAAATCGTCGGTGGGATAATATTCAGCGTAATTGGTTCAGCCCCTGTCAACCTGTCTAGCTACCGGACGATGTCTTAACCCGACATCGTCTATACGACACGTAAACGTGCGGGATGTACTACACATTTTCGCAAGGTATCACCTGGCATGTCTGTTCGTGGAACCCATTACGTACCGCTCGGATCCAGTCCTCTAACAGGTGAAATACACGATTCCGTATTTCTTTTCCGATTTACCTTCCGTTTCGCGCGAAGGAAAAACAAAGTGAAAGATCATAATTAAAGGGAATCGGTAGATCCTAATATAAATATACACGGAAAAGTTTGTTTTAAATAGAGAGTTTCTTAAAAGAACGAATTTTGCGGAAGGTGTTAACTCATCATTTTCCCGGAACACGTGCAAGGATAAATAAATAAATAGTTTATATAGTAATAGGGAAAAACCATTTTATATCTGTACTGTACTTACCAAGTAAGTAGTCTTGTCACGTACACGCTTTTATGATCGATTAAAAAATGGAAAAGAAAAGAATTTTGAAAATTTTTGAAACGGATACGTATTCGAGCGCGTTAACACGAGGAGGTTAACAAAAAGGATGGCGAAAATGATGATATTAATTAATTATCAGAATGTTCTTTTTTTCGATACGTGCGATTGATCGCGTATATAAAAGTGATTTGGAAAGAGACGTCGAGTTTTCTCGCGGAATTCTTTCTGGGCGCGCAAGAAATTTCCAGGAAGGTGGATCCGCACCTGTCGAGAATACCGCACAATGCGAGCGGCCGCGCTCGCATCTTTCAGTCGCGTTCCATCCACTTCTCTCATCGCCTTCCGCGGCGAGCCACGTTCCCACGGGAGCGCGGATAAACGACACGCTCTCTAACGCCCCTGCACGGTCGGATTTGCCTACGAGGATGAAACTTTCTTCCACATATTAATAAGTTATAGCGGGTCGATCGGCGTTTCTTCTGAGAAGGTAGACCCGAGCGGGGCAACAATGGCCGAATTCGCCACGGGGGACCAGGCCCCGGAGATAGACTTTGACAACGCGATCGCCGGTGTTCCGTATTATATGTCTATGCCTCTGGACCGCAGATCAGATAAGAGGGATGCGTTTGAGAAACCGACCGACCGATCGACCGACCGATTTCGCCGTGCTCCAGCTTCGCACGTATTTTCTCTGCGCCTTTTTTACCGCGCCGACTCGTCGTCCACCGCTCTTCGCCATCGTCGCGACGCGTGAAAATCGACGAGGGAGGAATGGAAGGAAAAGGATTTGAAAACTCTGGAAACGAAAGGTGGAAAAGAAAAGGAATCGATCCGTTTGTTCGTAAAGGTATCGGACAAGAAATCGGGCACCCATTGTTTTGTCACGTTCGCTTTCTCTCTCTTTCTCTCTCTCACTCTCTCTCTGGTTAACTTTCCGAGAAGTTTCTCGCGCCGTTTTAACACCTTTCTCCGCGAAAGACGCGAGGATTTACGTGGACCGCGGCGTTGCCGTAAATCACCGAAAACGAGAAAGTTGTCGCGAGATAAAACGAATTCCATAAGTTTCCACATAATCTCTTATTCGTCGTGGTTCGATCGATTCGATGATGGTTGAATGAAAAAAAATTGGAGATTTCGAGCGCGAGAAAGACGATCGAAGCGAGCGCGTTTGAATAAAACTCGTTTAGACGATTGGACGCGTGCAACAAGTTTATACGCGAGAAATGGATCGGGCGAACCGAATGATTTAATTAACTTTCCAACCGGTCTCGATTCGGCTGGATTACCAGCGGGAGACTTTGCGCCCGAAAGTCCTTGGCGAACGGCCCGTTCGAAAAAGGTTGGCCCCGCGACGACGACAGAAACCTCCGTGTTACCAATAATTTGCGAGATGTCGGTCGTGGTGCACACGCGACTCCGGGAACGCGCAACAACAACCAGAGTTAACCACGATTTCACATTCTCGAGATTTATTCTTCTCGCGGGAAACACGCAAAGTTCAGTGACGCTTGCGTCACCAGGCTCCGCTTCCAAGTGCCGCTCTTAATGTCTCCTTGCTCCGATTTTTGAGCGTAAATAACTACTTGCTTGGCTAGAACCATTTGAAACGGCAGTAGTAAAATATTCCGGCTTAGGAATGTCTGTGATTTATAGCTGTACGAGTAATAATTATCGCGTACGTGGATGCAATAACGAGCGGTGATATCGACGTTATTCGTCGGTTTATTAATTTCAGGACCGTCCCTCCCCCTCCCTCTTCTGCGTATCCTGTGATAGCAATCGGATGGTTTCGTCATTTCTTCGCGATTTTCCAAATTATTTCCTTCGAAAATAATCTCGCGCGCGATTGCCGCGTCGCTTAAATAATGATGTAACGCGATAAAAATTCGTCGTATCAGGAGAAATCGTTTGTTTCAAAAACGTGATTCATCGTGGATTAAAAGACGAAAATTTTTTTCACCATCTCACCGTCCCACGTTACACCTTTGTTGTGTGCGATTCTATCTGATCTTGATTTTAATCTCAATCGTGTATATATAGAATAATCATGCGCAATAAACGACGCATTGTATTTTTAATAAAATTAAACATCGGTTTCGTATAAATCGACGCGTATCGAGTCGAAGTCGCTTTTTGTTCCTTCTAGTTCCTTCTTCCATGCTCTTTTTCTTCCTAAACAGGTAATAAATAAGAATGTTGTCGAAATGAAATACCACTTTTTAAACAAGTATGCAAAGTAGAAAAAAAATCAAGTACCATTTATAACAAGTCGTCACTTTTATTATACCATTTATCATATCGCATAATCAGAAACTATACAATTTTATCTGTAACGTGTCTTTAACAATTAGTAGATACCTTGGTAAGTCTGTCATTTTCTTTTTTCAACAAGTTTTAAACAAACGTTACATTTCGAAACGTTTCGAGTTAATGATACTTTTATTCTTCTATCGATGTGCAATTTGAAAAAATTCTTTTGACAAAAAAAAAAAGGAAGATGAAAGATGTTTCGTTTATGCACACTATTATGGCTTCTAAAAAAAAAAAAAAAAAAATAATAAATAAACAACGAAAATTTTTCTCAAAAGTAAATTGAAACACGTTTTCGATATGAATTTTTCTCTTTCAAACAAATAATGTAACGGAACAAGTATTGATAAGATTAAGATTATTATTATTATTTACAACTTATATCATATACGTAAATCTCTGAATATGCGATAATTGAAGTTCCGTTATCAGGATAATTTATTCTAATATGGATCGAACAAATATTCGCTTTACGACGAATATATAACGGAAACTATCGAGAAACTCAACTGTATCAAGAGACTGTTGTTAGTTTATATGCGATTTTCCGAAAAAATGCATTAGTCGTTTTTCCAGCCAAATTTCTGGTCACGAACGAGCGCGAGTCAACAACTATTTTCCCAACGAATTGTCAAAAGTGCGACGGTCATTTGTTTACAATAGTATCCTTTTTTCTAAGAAAAATCAAAGAGAATCGAAAGAGATCAAAAGAATGGTTTAAAACGAACGAAAAAAAAAAAAAAAGAAAAGAAAAAAGAATGTTATCGATTGGGTAAAAAGTTGCAATAACTAATAATGGGAGAAGCGAGGTGAATCACATTGGAAATAAAATCATAACAAGAACGAAGAATGATGTCAGAATATAGGTAGTGCGATAAACAAAAATGAGATATCTAACGCGATCGACTGGACGGTCTGAATTGTCGATCGGCACAGGCACTACCGATACTATTTCCGAGAAAAGCCGGCGTCAAAGACTTAATCTTATTAGAACGCGTGCAAGTCACCGCAAGAGGATCTTATTGGCCGAGAGGAGAAGACGGCGAAGACGCCCACAACGTGCACGCTTATATAGTACTCTAGTGCTATGCGGTGTTCATTCATAGTTCCACTCCAGTCTAGTCATTCATTAATCCGATACGGCGAGAGTGTCCTTACAGAGCGTGCGCTGATCACGACTCTCGATCGTTCGAGTGACCCCCTTCGAGTTCGCGCGCCCGTGTGTGTGTGTGTGTGTGTGGGTGTGATACGTCCTACGATATACTCTCGTGAAATCGAGAAGTACCTACCAGCTCGTCGACAAGGTGGATCAAACATCGAACACGGAGAATGCGAATAGGTGAGAATGACTCACGATCAGACTCGATTTCATACGAACGTTCTAGGAAACGAAGGAGGAGAGGCTCAACGCGTGGCTCCGTTTAAAATAGCCGATGCTAAGGAATAATCGATCAGGCCTCGCGCCGTTACCGTCATACGCGCGTTTCGATGTATCTTTTTTTTTTTGTTTGTTTGTTTGTTTCTTTGTTTATTCTCCCCCCTCCCTTCCCCTCCTCTCGAAATATTTCGTTTCGTTCGAGAATTATTTTTTCGACGGTGATCGTCCGCGTTCCGGGTGAAAGTAATATATATATATATATATATATATATATACATAGGACGAATACAAGAGAATATTATCGAGAATTTTACGTGAGTTAAAGAATATATTTACGCTCTAAATGGATATACGATACGCGTTCGTGGACGTGTAGATTGTTAAAAGAGCGCGTCACGAGGCGATTGATTAAAGAAGATATTCCAGTTCAAGGCATGCAAGTTTCATCGATTTTAACGTTTCATAAACGTGTAGACGGCTATTTTTACTTTCTCTCTCGTAGTAGACATCAATTTCCCGCGTCATAATCGTCGGTATACACGCGCACAACAAGCTTTTGAAACGAGTACGCGTGTTCCGTGGAGCGGAATCGAACCGGGAGGAGAGGATCCTTTTTATCGTCGATCGATGCTCTTTCGGGGCAGGTGGTTGATCCTCGTCTCGAAAGTTAACGGAACTAATGGATTTCAAGCTTCTGCTCGCATCGAGGAGGCGCAAAGTCGCCTGAAGCAAATCGCTCGTGCCACGGCTACTCTCGAAAGGGAATTCAAAACGCCATTCGCGATGCTCGGCCAAACACGCGCTCTGTCCTTTTATAGTTCTTTTATATATAGTTTACCACTCGATTCGCTCGAAACCGAACGGAAGAAGTGGCGCTTCTTTCACGGTTTTTCTACCACAAACCAGAAATGCGACCGTCGAGTAATCTCTCTCCGAGTTCCACTCTATTCCCACTGACTTTACAGCACGCTGGATTTAATTCCTTTTCCACGATCCAATTACGCTTCTTTTTATTTATTTATTTTTCTTCTCCCCTCTCCTCCCCTTCTTCTCGTTTCTTCTAACCGCTTTTTCTCTCCCCCCCCCCCCATGGCTTTTTCCTTCGTTTTTTCATTTTTTTCTTTACGCTTTTTCCTTTTTAATTACGATTGCACTTTTTGCACCTCTGCGTTGCAAATAAATCGGCAATAATTGATAAAAGACGGATAAACATCGCTCTTTATTACAAAGGATAAATATTCATTCACCCGCGAACGAAACTATATATAACGCGTTACAGATAGTTATCAAACGTGAATCATTCGGCGTCCACTGATTGCTACTTGTCGTAGCTTGTAGTAACTTTATCTTGAAGCAAGTTAACGCGAACAATGACATGATGTCAAAACTATTTATAATTACACGCTATGTATGTATATATATATATATATATATATATATAGACGTTATACGTATTCCGAAACGAATTATTCAAAAATAATTCTACAAAGATATTTTATCAAAAATTAAATAAATTATTGCAAACGTTGAACAAAGGATAAATATATACATATATCGTAAAAGTTAAAATTTCATATATTTGATTTTCTCGAGTGAAATTATTAAATGGACGATAGATAATGTATACATTTTCAAAATATATCCGATATAAGGATATTTGAAGGAAACGTAAGATCGACTCTGGCGAGCATCGTAACGCTTGGATCGGTCGATTTGCTTTCTCGGAGTCGAGTTGACGAAAGAATGGGCGAAGAAACGTGTCCGAGGCAAAAGGAGAAATAAGTGGTGCAACGGTGCCACGTATTTCCGTTCTAATGACTAGCAAAAACTTGACACCTGCATCGACACCGGTGTCGGAAACAACGACCGAGAAATCGACCGATTTCAGGAGTTAGCCTTGCGTAACGAGAGAATTTTCCATTTTTCCGAACCGGCCGCGTCAATTGTATTCGAAAGAAGAGTATGCGCGTATTTCAACCGCGTTATATAACGAAAATGTGAGAAACGATAAAAACTCAGGGAAATCCCTTTTTACATATACGCGCGCGCGCGTGCGTACGCACACTCGTTCACGGTCTCGATTCTTATCGAGAGACACCAGCCTCGGACAATGTCAATGCGACTCGACACAACGTCGCGAATATAGCGTTTAAATAAAGCAACGTTACACGAGTATATACTTACGTGTCACGCATATATTATAGAAACTGGTATATAACATTATCAATCATTCCAACTTGTGTGAATAAGCATGACACGGAAGAATAAATAGACACATTGTCGGTAAAAAAAAATTTCACAAAGTAAATATCGTTTACCGCTTTCACTTTTCCATTTCCACTCCTTTACCCTCGACTCCTTTATCTCGACGTAATAATAATCTCGTTTCAACGACAATTCAAATTTCATTCTCGCGGGTCGTCGAAAAAGAGAAAAGGACGAAAATACGGTATACTTATGTATACCAAGATTTACCAACATTATCGTTCTTCCAAAGCTAATACCAATAGCGCTTCGATTCGATGCATCCGGAATGAATCGCATCGCGGAATGATGCATCTTGCTGGACACGCGCGCGTGTCAACTAACTCGGCTCGATTAACGACGCGACACGACGTAATTGGGTAAAGGGTAATTCGATCGTCTCGTTGATGAATCCTCGCGCGAAGAGGATTGCGTACGTATGCGGTGTCGAGGTGGGTTCTAGGGTTAAGACAGCGCGCCCATCGTTAAATTAAAATCCCGAGGCGAGCGGCACCATCGTCTGGCCCACCTCGGCGGTGCCTTCTAATTTGCAGCGCATAATATTCGAATAATTTGCACGCGCTAATAGGAGCGGAGAGGAAGGAGGCGGCCGGCCTCCTATGCATATAGAAAACACCTTACAGACCTTCTCGAAGCGATGCAAATGCTTCTTCAGCCTGAATCATGGGCCGGTTAATATTGGCCGTATCGTATGATGAGTCGTCTACTCGTACAATCACTCGATCAAAGTATGCGACGCGATCGCATCTAATCGCAGACATAATATCTTATCAGTGACGTATCCGACGCATACGCGAATATAATAAAAGTATCGAATGCGTTCGTCGTGTGGTGTATTCGTTATCTAGAGAATAATAATAATAATTGTTTGCAAACTTACCAACTATCTTGATAGACTTTGCTCGCGACTTCGATCGAAAAGTGTCGAAATTATTTCGTATATTGTCGCGCGTCACTTTTCTGTTTCTCCTTCTTTTTTTTTTTCGTTTAACTTTTAAGTAAAGTAAAGTATCGTTAAATAATTGAAAAATCGTTAGAAGAGAAGGAAAAGATAGTTTTAAAAATAATTTTTACTTCTTCTAGATAGAATATATCCATGAGGTTTCCAAAATGTTGAAACGATCGAAAGGAAATCCTCGTTCGTATTGAATTTAATCGATAAATTTAAAGAAAAAAAAAAAAAAAAAAAGAAGAAGAAAGAGTTAGACGATAAGACGAAATTCGATCAAAGGTTAAGAAGCGTACATCCTGTCGATTCGATTGATTCTTCGTATATTTTTGCCAATTAACGCATTTTTCACGTTCTCTTATCGATCGTAAAATCAGATATTTTAATTCTTATTATCGAGATCACGAGATATTATTAGAGTAATCGAAACGTTTATCGTTTCTACACTCCGTGCTCTTAATCCTCGAAGATTTTCGTTCATTTTATTATTTGACGATTAATTTTGAAATCGATCGTTCGTGTTATCAGGTACAAAATCGAAATGAGAAATATAAGATTGAACGTTAAAAAAGCGTTAAAAAGGAAGAAGCGTTAACGCGAATAAAAATTTTTATCGGGACGTCGCGCGCGCGTCACGAACCGCGCTCGACGTCACTCCGCGTCGAATCGTATCACACGCGCCCCTTATCAAAGAGCACGATGCCATCGAACGTACAAATATAATAATCGCGAGAACCGCGTTTATAATTGGTTTCACATCGGTTTGACACGAATTGGCAACATACTCGAATAATTCACCGATGAATCGCGGTGGTCGATCGTAAAAAAAAAAAAGCAAAAAAAAAAAAAAAAGAAGAAAGGAAAGGGAATTGAAAATTCTCGACAAGAGAAGGGGGTTAAAGGAAAGAAGAAGGTGGAATAGACGGTACTCTATCCCCCACGCGCGAGGAACGGCGTAGATATCGGGGCGAGGGTGGCGTGCAGGGTTGGGTGGGGAGGGGACCGAAAGGTAGCCGGAGGAGCAGAAGGAAAGCAGCTGGAGAGAGAGAGAGGAGGTGGGGTGTCGTAGGAGGTGGTGGCAAAGAACAGGAGGGAAAGAGGTGGGACCGAGCGTGTGGAAGAGCGAGAGGACGAGGTGAGTAGCAGCGAGTCCGTGAGCCCGAGTGAGTAACTGGGAGTCGCAACCGAGGACCCACTCAGTCACCACGAGATCGGCAAGCCGAATGGTCAACCGCGCCGGTTCTCCCGCTCGGAACTCTGCGCACAGCTGAAGGGACAATCGAACCGACAAGGACACGTTGCGTTCCTTCGAATGTCAACTAGCGCGTTCCTTGCTCGACGCATCGTCGCTCGAACCGTGCCATTGCCGATCGCGCATCCGACGTGCATCCCACGATGTGGAGATTTCTGGTGCGCTGTTATGTCACGTTGACATCGATCTGACGCGTTTCGTTTCGTTTAGTTTCGCTCCGTTCCGTTCCGTTCCGTTTCGTTTCGTTTCGTTTCGTTTCGTTTCGTTTCCTTTCGTTTCGTTTCTCTGTTTCGACCGCAAAAGACAACGTTTCCGCGTCTCGCGTCCGTTTTTTTACCCACCGATTTCCCGAACCGAGACTGACTTTCCCGGGGAAAAGACGGAGCCAAGGTGGGACCGGAAGTGCGTGAGTGGATGCGAGCAAGAGGTATCGACGGGAGGAGCCGAAGACTCTCCTGCAGAAGGCCGAGGAAGAGATGATCTACGAGCTGCTGG